TGCATTTCAGGTAGATGGATCAGCAATGGATGTGCGCGGACCGGCGGTCGAAAGAGTTTATTGACGGCATGCATTATTTTTTGAGTGTGGCCAATGCTAACAAGCGTAACGGTTTTATATGTTGTCCATGCAACAAGTGCAAAAACCAGAAGGAGTATTCCACAGCACGAACTATTCATTCCTACCTGTTTCAGTGGGGGTTCATGCGTAGCTATAATTGTTGGATCTCTCACAGAGAGCTAGGGGTTGCAAGAGAAGAAGATGAAGTAGAAGACGAGAACATTCCGGGCTGGGCTCAGTATTGGGGATTTGAAGAAAACACAACGGGCGAGGCGGACGTGGATGTTGAAGATAATGACGGTGCAGATGATCTTGGTCAAATGTTGTGGGACGTACAGGAGGACCGCGAAAGTGAAAAGGAGGTGCAGAAACAAGAGCGCATGTTAGCGGACCACATAACATCGTTGTACCCAGGTTGCGAGCAGAGGCACAAAAAGTTGGGTACCACGCTGGAATTCTAGCAATGGAAGGCTAAAAATGGTGTGAGTGACAAGGCATTTGGCGAGTTATTGAAATTCGTAAAGAACATTCTTCCGGAGGGGAATGAATTGCCCGAAACAACGTACGAAGGTAAGAAGGCAGTGTGCCCTCTAGGACCGGAAGTACAGAAGATACACGCATGTCTGAACAATTGTATCCTCTATCGCGGTGAGGAGTACGAAAACCTAGAAGCATGCCATGTTTGCAAAGCACTACGATACAAGATTAGACGAGATGATCCAGGTGATGTTGACGGATAGCCTTCAAAGAAGAGAGTTCCTGCTAAGGTGATGTGGTATTTCCCTATAATACCACGGCTGAAGCGGTTTTTCAGGAACAAATCACATGCTAGAATGATGCGGTGGCATGCAGAAGAACGTAAACAAGGCGGGATGCTAAGACACCTCACCTACGGGTCGCAGTGGTGAAATATCGACACAACATTTAAAGACTTCGGAGAGGATGCATGAACCGTGAGGTTCGATTTAAGTACAGATGGAATTAATCCTTTTGGAGAGATGAGCAGCGGCCATAGCACTTGGCCGGTCACCATGTGCATCTACAACCTCCCCCCTTGGCTATGCATGAAGCGGAAGTACATCATGATGCCGATTATTATTCAAGGCCCAAAGCAACCTGGTAACGACATTGATTTGTACCTAAGACCATTGGTTGATTTATACCTAAGGCTATTGGTTGATGATCTGAAAGTGATGTGGAGGAAAGAGGGCGTCCCTGTGTGGGATGAGGACAAACATGAGAAATTTAACCTACGAGCGTTGCTGTTCGTTACCATTAACGATTGGTCTGCACTTAGTAACCTATCCGGATAGTCAAACAAGGGGCTTACACTCACTGTATGGATGAAACTGAAAGTACGTATCTGAAGCATTGCAGGAAGGTTGTGTACATGGGCCATTGTCAATTCCTTGTTACAAACCACCCTGTACAGAAGAAAGGCAAGCACTTCAAACAGAAGGCAGACCACCGTACTAAGCCTAAACATCACAACGGGAAATCAATGTTTGCAATGGTGAAAAATCTGAAAGTAGTATTTGGAGCCAACCTACAGAGAGCGAAGATGGCTACATGGCGATGTGGAAGAAGAACTCTATTTTTTGGGAGTTACCCTATTGGGGTTTTGGGAGTTACCCTATTGGGAAATTTTGGATGTCCGCCATGCAATCAGCGTGATGCACCTCACTAAGAACTTTTTGCATAAACCTGCTGGGCTTCTTAGGTATATATGGGAAGTCCAAAGATACACTCGAAGCACGTAATGATATCAAGCATATGGAACAACGCGATGTCCTTCATTCGGAACCGATTGAGAAAGGAAGCCATTACTTGAGTCCAGCGAGCTACACCCTAAGCAAGAAAGAGAAGGAAATTATGTTTGAATGCCTAGAGAGCATCAAGGTACCGTCTAGATACTCCTCAAATATAAAGAGTATAATAAGCACAAAGGATAAGAAGTTCATAAACCTAAAATCTCATGACTACCACGTGTTGATGACACAATTGCTTCCTGTTATAACTCGTGGTTTCCTTGCTGATAATGTCCGGGCAACAACAACGAAGCTTTGTGTTTTCTTGAACGCAATTTCACAGAAGATCATCGATCTAGACAGTTTAGCAGCCCTTCAGGAGGACGTGGTGCAATGCCTTGTCAGCTTTGAGTTGATCTTTCCACTGTCATTCTTCAATATAATGACGCATATTCTATGTCACGTTGTGAAAGAGATCGATATTATTGATCCTGTGTACCTACACAACATGTTTCCTTTCGAGAGGTACATGGGCGTTCTAAAGAAGTACGTTCGTAACCGTTCTCGTCCGGAAGCAAGCATCGCCAACGGGAATGGAACAGAGGAGGTCATTGAGTTATGCATAGATTTTATTGAAGACCTCCGTCCAATCAGGGTACCCGAATCAAGCCATGAGGGGAGACTATAGGGAAAGGGCACTCTTGGAAGGAGAGCAATTATGACTACAGACAACGATTTATTCCGTAAAGTACATTTCACGGTTTTGCAACAATCTTCGTTGGTTGCTCCTTACATCGAGGAGCACCAGGCGATTGTTCGCTCAGAAAACATTGGCAAGTCCGATGCCTGGATTACATGCTATCATATTGATACTTTCCCCGCTTGGCTGCGACAACACCTCATGGGTAACGAGATGATTGACCGACAACTAGCCTTCTTGGCTAGGGGACCATCTTGCTCGGTCTCGACATTCCAAGGATATGAAATCAATGGAAACACATTTTACACAAGAGCCAAAGACAAAAAGAGCACGAACCAAAACAATGATGTTCGTATCAATGCCATAAGATATGATAGTACAACTAGCATGTATTACGGTGTCATCGACAACATATGGGAACTAGACTATGGACCCCTGAAGGTCCCTCTGTTTCGGTGCCAATGGGTTAGGCTGACTGGTGGAGGCGTAACGATTGATGACAGCGGGAGCAGTGTAGTAGGACCAATGGTCTAGAACAACTACACGTAGGTAGCCAATGCGGGAGCAGTGTTGATATTTCTTATGCCCTCACAAAAATGTTCCGCGAGTGCACATAATCATAAATATGTTTCACCTCGAAGTATTCTGGAGTATCGTATTTATATTTTCCGTAAAGGACATACTGATGGCATAAAACATTTCATTTGTTTTACCTTACATGTCTATGAAATTTATACTAAGAAAGAATGGGGCATAAAAGATCCTATATTGTCCTCAGAGATTCGTCACTTTCAATTGTTGAAAACATTGAAGATCCTACATTGTCCACGTATAACCTCACTACCGGAGGAAGGCATGCCGTCTTCGCTAGAGGAAATGGACATATATCGGTGCAGCAGTGAGTTAACTGAACTGCGCAGGAGTATGAGTGAAAATAAAACGTTCCGTATATATAATAATGCTAATTTTGAATTATAGGTTACATCATATCTGGCCTATTGATCAAGATCGATGCTAGCTACTTTCCCTTTTGTCTCTAAGTTTCGAGCTGGTAGCTAGACAACTTTTATGTTTTATTAAGATTATGTTTTTGTGCTGTTGGGCTTGGTTTCCAAGCTGGGTAATGGAAGTTGCCTGTTGTAAAAAAAAAATGCTAGCTACTTGACCAAATTAACTAGCCTTTACCGATTTGATTTACCTTTCTCATTAACTGAAAGCTGGTTCCATCAAATATAAGAAATGTCATGTCCTTTTCACCCTTGAGTTTTGCCATGCCCTGAGGAGATTAAAAATGAAAAATGAAGGACATATATAATGAAATTTTTGTACTTGAGGTACTTTCCGGTATAAATTTGGTATCTCAAGCTACTTAGTATCTGAGGTACCAAAATTCTGTGTACAAAACATGGTACCTGTAGATACCAAATGTTGGATGGTAAAATAAATCTAATATTGTATGGTAAAATTGCTCTATAAAGCTTAAGTTTGTATTGAAGGAATACTACTAAATTAAAATGCACATAAGGAATTTTCTTTTTTATTTCTGTCTGTTCCTCCGTTTAAGGGGAGCTCCAATGTCATACTAAAACCGAACACATTTTGGGAGTCGAATAGTGTGTCATTGAAAAATTGACATTCAAAAAGAAAAAAAAGGAAATATCTAAATACCCCCTACAACTCACTAGTGTTTTGTCTATTTCCCCCCTACACCTCAATCTCATACACTTCCCTGCAAATCAATTTATCTTATAACTTTCTAATACCCCGTTTTCATCTATTTTGTCTAGTTACTTCAATTTGTAAGGACCGATGGGCCTCCCGCGTCATGGGACAATAAGAACTCATATCACCTCGAGAGATTGGTATAGTATAAATTATAGCTAGCTCACAACTTAGCAAGTTGAGCCATCATGTTTTGCCATCATTACCTCGCTTGTACGGGATTTGTGAAAGGTTTCCAAAGACCCACCACAAAGGTATATGGGGTATGAAAAGTTGAAATAAGAAAGTTAAACAATGAGAATAAATCAACGAAAGCAAGATAGGGGGAAAGCTAGAAGAGAAAATGACTTGCATGGAAGAAATTAAAGTGGAAACACAAGAGATGTAGAGGATATTTGGATCTTTTTCACAAGACCCAATAAAATATTCTAGGTTCGGTTGTGCACGAGAGAGGTAGACGCGGGCGAGACTAATAGTTTCTCTGCGTGGATCCCACATATCGATTTCCACATGGACGAAGATCAAACTGAAATTTGTGCGCTTGCCAACAGTATTAGAGTTCCCCAAGAAGATATGGTAGTTAGTGCTGGGTGGATTGGCGAGTCTTCACCTTCACTTATCAACTATGCTAGCAACAGCTAGCAGCCACTACTAGCTGTAGCTAGCATGAAAAGAAACGTGACAACACGCGCGTATGTAGCTATGTGCAAGTTGGCGCATAATTTAACGTGACTACCTCTCGGCTGTGTGTTTGACCTGTCAATGCCTCACAGACCTACAGTACTCCTGTCGTAGTATCTCTCTATGGCCTTGTGTTTTCTGTACATCGCTGTCGTCTCCTCAGTCACTAGCCGCGCTCTGTGTTCTTCGGTGAGTATTCCTCAGCTTCTATACGGAAAATATAGCGATGAATTAGTGTAGGATTAATTATATATTAGTTAAAGAAACTTAATAAGTAGGTTAGTTTAATTGTTTAAAGTAATTTTTCTACAGATTTTTTTTAAGAAAATACACGGTTTAAAAACGTGCGTAGGGAAAAGGAGGAGAGGATTGTAAGTTTGCAACCAGCAGAGCTTTGCCCCGGGGCGTCGGCACGCACTGCCACCTCGCCCTCGAGGCCTCGACGGCGCCACAGTGCCACACCCATTCTCTGTTGATCCCTAGCTGTAGTTGTAGCTGGCAGATGGACAAGGCGGCGGTTGTTCCACTTCCAATCACCGGAGGAGTCAACGACGATCGTACTGCTGCGCTGCAGCAGTGGGCTTCCACCGTCGGCTTCGGAGGCGAGGTGGGGCGCCTCGTCGAAGCCCACCGACGCCTCGACTCGGTGCTCGCGGAGACGCAGGGGAAGGAGATCCGGAACAAGGAGCTCCAGCGGCGCCTCAGGGAGGCCTCGCATGATGCTGCCCGCGCCCGTGACCTCCTCGGCGAGCTCGAGTACTACCGCATCCGCGAGGAGGTGGAGCGCGACGACCACGATAAGGTCAGCGCAGGTTTTGTTTTCTGGATTTTTTTTTATTCACCTGAGGTCCTGGTTGTTTTGTTCCCCAATCCTCCTATGTACTTGTACTACAAATCGAAGGCAAATTACTGCATATTTCAACCATCACAATCCCACTAAATTTTGGCAATTTCAGAGCTTTCAACTGTTAAAATAGCAACAAATTTGATAATTGCTCAAGTCAAACATCGCCTTACCAAAATTTTTGCGGGAATGCCAAAAATTGGCTTTAGTGAAGTTTGATAAGATTTACTTTCGCAATACAAACCAAACATGCCCATGGTACCTTCGTGCACGAAGCAGGCTGTGGCATGTTCGTGGGCTCGATATGCTTTCTTTCATTTCTCACCCAATCAGAATGCAGTATCCATACTTTGGTTTTGATGTGACTAGTGAAAAATGTTATGCCGGTTACGGTGGATTACAAACCTATGCCATGAATCCATGATGAATGATCATAAGTACATGCCTCTTTTTGCGATAATTGAAATTAATCCAGCATCTGCATCAAAAGATGCATCTGACCCTAGTTTATTACAGCTTTGCAACATGAGTTGCTAAACATAACTACTGACTATATGAGAATATGAAAATCAAACACAAATCCTACTACTAAATCTCCAACCATGTGTAGAGTTTTGATGACGACCATCTCAATTTTGCTACATGCCATGATGATATCTGATTTGTCATCTTCATTTTGCAGTAGATAACAGCAATCATAATGGCACATAATCTTCGATAAAGCCTCCTCATCCTTAAAAAGGCCCTTCCTATATTTACCTCGATATTTTGTATCAAAAAATAGTCAGATTTTTCAACATGCATATGTATGAAGTAAACCACAATCAATCTTCCAGCCAACAGCACACCTGCTTGCAATCAAAATGGAACAAGGCAAAAAGATTTGAGCTCACAGGCCTGGAACCAAATGAGAAAATGGCTGGTTGGAAAACACATGTTCACACAAAATTAGCAAAACTGTCCTAAGAATGCACTAACTCACCAAATTGGTTCACTAGATTGCTCAGTGTTTAGATTCTTGTACTAAATACCCATTTGCAAATTGCTTTTGTGATGTACTCCCTCCGTTTCACAATGTAAGTCACTCTAGCATTTCCCACGTTCATATTGATATTAATGAATCTAGATAGATATAATCTAGATTCATTAATATTAATATGAACGTGGGAAATGCTAGAATGACTTACATTTTGAAACGGAGGAAGTATTGGTTAGTCCTCAAGCTCTTGCACTAAACCGTAAGCCACCTGCCATACTTGAGGCACAATTTACTCAAGTAAATTTGAAACAAATTTTAATGACAGTGTAAAACACTGATTTACTTTTTAGATACTAGAACTAATATCCTGGCCTGTGTGCCTGGAGATACACACAGCTAAAACACTGATTAACTAATTGGGGAACTTATAATTTTGTTGAGAATGATACTGCAGGGGAGGCCCTTGCAGTTAAAACTATTATTAAAACAAATAAGATACAGAATTACAACAGTTCAAGCCAGTAATCTGTATCTTTTTACCAGTAATAGGAATTGGTATTTATCCATATTTTGTTCTCTCGCTATCCGTTTACTTCAACGACTGGATTTGCAAAGTGCTGTCTTGTGCAAATGCTCTGTTTCATACATTATGATATAATAATGTATGTATTCAATGCAGACAAATTTCTATTATATGTGAAATACTTGACACTACTTTGTAGTGGACTCTTCAACTGTGACGTGTCAAACCAAAATATAAATACAACTTCTTTTAGTGACATGCTTTACAGAATTATCGTTTCTTGTGGGTACAGAGTTATACTAAATTATGATGCATAGCAACTTTTGATAGTTGTTTAAATCCACTTTTGCCCCTTTTTTTCAGCTATTGCATGACAATGCAAATGGAAATTTGCTTCTCTCCATGCCTCAAAGGGATGTTGAGTTCTTTAACAATGATGCAGCAAAAGATGACAAAGACACCACAGAAAGTTCTCTTAGCAACACAGATTCATCTGCATCTGCTCTTCAGGTTACTACGTACATTGCTAGTAGCAGTAGTCCAGTACCCTATCTGGAGACTCTTAACAAGTGCATCTCGAATGAGATAAGTAAATACACTGAAAAATGCTACAGGATAGCCAAACAGGTGAGTGAAGCTCTTGAGCTTGAAAGTCTGGATTACCTTTACGCGCACAAATACCAGAGAACAAGAACAGATCATCGGGAGACATCACCATGCCAAAGTGAACCCAAAGTTCATGGGAGGGACCAACAGCGTGACTTGATAATAAGCAAGTTAACAAGTGAGGAATGTGCTAGGAAGAAACTCTCTATCCTTGCCATCATCGGTGATGGAGGTATTGGGAAAACTACTCTGGCTAAGCTAGTCTTCAACAACTCAACAGTGTCAAAGCATTTTGACGTTCTGTTATGGGTTTATGTATCTGTTCACTTTGATCAAAATAAGATTATGCAGGAAATGTTGGACTCCTTTTGCGGGGATGAGCATGATGAAATCAAGAAATCGAAGGAGCTTCAACTCCAAGACAAACTTGACTACTTATTGAAGTCAAAACGAGTGCTACTTGTTATGGATGACATGTGGGAGGATAGCACAAAGGAAAAATGGGATGAGCTGTTAAATCCATTGCTTAAAAACGATGTTATGGGGAACAGTGTTCTTGTCACAACTCGTAAACCATCTGTGGCAACAATGATAGAAGCAGCAGATCACATCAACCTGGATGGTTTGAAAAAAGATGACTTTTGGTGTTTGTTCAAGGAATGTGTATTTGGACATGAGAACTATAAAGGAGAACCAAGACTGGAAAAAATTGGGCAGCAGATAGTTGACAAGTTAAAGGGCAATCCTTTAGCAGCAAAGACTGTAAGCAAAGTATTGAGAAGGAGCTTTGACGTTGATTACTGGAGGAGAATTCTGCATACCGGTGAATGGAAGTACAAAAATGATGAGAATGATATCATGCCGGCCTTGATGATCAGCTACAAATATCTTCCAGCTCACCTTCAAAGTTGTTTCTCGTACTGTGCTGTGTTCCCAAAGTATCATAGGTATGAGAAAGAGCGTCTGATCGATATGTGGATAGCGCAAGATTTGCTATGTTCCGCTGATATTCACACACGACCTGAGGACATTGGAAATGAATACTTTGATGATCTACTTGATTGGGGATTTTTCGAAAAACAGTTTGAGCACTCAACCTTACTCATCATGCATGATCTAATTCATGATCTGGCACAGAAGGTTTCATCTGACGAAAGCTTTACCATAGAGGGCAATGAGCCTAGGAATGCACCGCCATGTGTTCGTCATGTCAGTGTAATAACAGAGTGGGAGTACAAAACAAAATTGAATGGCACTGTGTATCCTAATGATTCTTTCCTCCAAGAGTTCTCTAATTCCTTCCGTGAGTTGCAACAAAGGAGCTTAAGCACATTGATGCTGTTTGGGCCACATGACTTGGATTTTGCAGACACGTTTCGGCAAGAACTCAATGAGGTAAGGTCAATCCGTGTGTTGAAACTGGAGATGGTCTTCTTTGACTTGGATTCATTGATAGGCAACATCTCAGCATTTGTCAATCTTCGCTATCTAGAACTGGGCTGCTTCTACAAGGGCCCCAGGCTGGAGCTACCAGAAGCTATATGCAGGCTGTATCACCTTAAAGTCCTGGATATAAAGAAGAACTGGGGTCCTAGCACATCTTTGCCAAGAGAAATGAGCAAGCTTGTTAACTTGCGGCATTTTATTGCTGAAAAGGAGTTACATGCAAAAATAGCTGGCATCGGAAAGATGGTTTCCCTGCAGGAGCTAAAGGCATTTGATGTCAAAAAGGACCATGAGTTCAGCATATCACAGCTGAGAGGACTGAATCAGCTAAGGGGATCAATAAGCATTTCTAGTCTTTACAATGCAGGGCATGAAGAGGCTAGCCAAGCAAGGCTCTGTGACAAGGATAACCTAACTTGTTTGCACCTGTCATGGCTGACTTTATCTAGGAACCGTGTTGCACGGCGTACTCTTCCTATCCTGGAGGATCTTAAACCACATTCTGGCCTTAAAAATCTGCAAGTTGTTGGATACAGGCATTCTTTACCATCATGGCTTTGCAGCACTGTCCATCTCACCTCTTTGCGGTCACTCCACCTGGATAGATGCATACGTTGGCAAACAATTCCACATCCCCAGCAGTTGCCTCTTCTCCAGGAGCTGCATTTGATTCAACTGCCTCGTGTTTACAAAATAGAGATTGGTCCTCTGAAGGTCCTTGAAATACGCTGGTTGCAAAATCTGAGGCAGTGCATACTTTTAGATAAGGAACAGTCATATGCTACCCTACAGATCCTTGAAGTGGAGGGATGCCCCAAATTGGATGAATTTCTATTGCAGATTTTCATGTCTTCGGGTGTACAAAGCACATACCAATTTCTTGGTATTCACAGGCTTAAGATACACAATGACTTCCTTCGTGCTAGCATCCCGCTCCTGCTCCTAAATTCTTTATCAGACATAGATCTGTGTGGTGAGCACTCAAAATTTACGAGGTTTCGACTAAAACCATTTGGCACATCAGATGGGTTGAGTCTACAAATCAAAGGAGATAGATATATTCAGAAGATAGAGGAAAGATTGTTCACATTAGAGAAACTCAAGGATCTGCGGGAACTTGAAATCCGGGACTATCAATCAGTGATATTCCAACGTCAATTCTGGGAAGGCTTCGAACAGTTGACATCATTGAAAAAGTTTAGAGTGATCAAGTGCCCAGAAATATTTTCTACCAACTTTGAGCTATTTCTGCCTCCGTCAGTTGAGGAACTTGAGTTGAGTGGATGCAACATTACATTGATACAACTATCACAACTCCTCGTGAACCTTCATTTACTTAAGAGTTTCAAGTTAACTAATTGCCAAGGGGTAACATCCTTACCTGTAGGGTTGTTTACAGATGAACAGAACACAATGTCAGAAGGCTCATGGCACATTCCTCCCAGATGCTTCACGAGTCTGGAAAGTTTGCAAATCTCTTTCACAACAGCTCCATCTGATGCAAATTCAATTATGCACTTTACGAGCAAGAAAGGCCTAGGAAGATTTGTATCTCTTAAGAAAATTGTTATAGAAAATTGCCCTACTCTGCTATCTAGAGCGCTTTCAGGAGGAGCATCTCATATATCTCCATCATCTTTGGATAAACTCTGCATGACTGGTATCCAAGACAGCACTCTGCAGTTCTCAGATGTCTCTTCCATCGCGGATTTAGATGTGTCTGGATGCCCGAAGTTGGCATGTCTCGACCTGAGTTCTTGTACCGCGCTAGAAAAGTTGTGTGTTATAGATTGCCGTTTGTTACAGTCAATTGAAGGTTTGCCGTCATGCTCAGCACTGAGGGATTTGAAAATTCGAAACTGTGCATTGCTGCCTTCGCTCAGCGCATCACTCCACACCCTGAAAACACTGAGCATAGAGAATAACACAAATCTAGCATCTCTGGAACTGAAATCATGCACATCATTGCAGAAACTATGCATCAAAGACTGCCCGGCACTGACATCATGGGAAGGTTTGAAATCCCTTGTTTCTCTTGAGATCTTGAAAGTTGAAGCGTCTCCTGGGTTCATAACGAGATGGATATCAGCAGCAGCTGAAGTTAATATCGAGGAGAAGAATTTCTCACTACCACTTGAAAAGCTCAACGTTGATAACATTGATGTCCTTTGTGTGCCCATATGCAGCCAGTTAACTTCTCTCAAGATATTATCCATTGAAGAGGATCGTCACGATCCAGATGGTCATGTGGAGTTTTTGACAGACAACCATGTCAAAGGACTGTCATTTCTCACCTGCTTGAGATTTCTTGATCTGGAAAACCTTGAGCAACTCCGGTCACTGCCTGCAGAACTTGGATCCCTTGCATCCCTGCAGAGACTACATGTTGGCAACTGTGGACATATTACTTCCCTGCCGGTAGGGGGTCTCCCAGCTTCGCTCAAGGACATGGAACTCTATAATTGCAGCAAAGAACTAAACGTACTGTGCCGAGATATGCTTAGACTTCGAAGAAACTTACATTTGTGGGTGGATGGCGACGAGGAGGATTTCTTTTCACAGAATTGCTCTGACGAAGAAATAAGTGAGCTTATGTTCGCATATCGTATAGCCTTTACACCAGGTATCCTTTTGTACACAGATAAACTGGTTTTCAAACTTTACTTGTGCTTCAGAATTACAATGTATGCTTGTCCTCTCTATTGATTGATGTTATTCTGGAAAAAAAACTCAGAATCTTTTTTTTTTTTTGAGAAACATCAATCACAATCTTACTCGTTCATTTTTGCACTAGGTTCTTTTTTGGAAGAACAGAACAATACGAGAACACCTTCTATTTTCGATGAAGGGAGCAAAAGAAACAAAATATCAAAATACAAGAGAAGAAAAAAGGCTACAGCCTACAGATGAAAGACTATTCTTGGAAGTGTTGAATCTAAATTGCCTACGTAACAAGAAGCTACGATTCCGGCTGACACTCTGGATTTTTTAGACAATGGAATCTTTATTATAAGACACAGCCAAATACTGTTACTGTGGATTGGTGTTGAAATACTGTCCAGTTTCAAGTGTTAAGGAAATAGAGCAGAACTTCAGACATCTTTCCTTTAAATAATGGAATTTTACACGGACATCTACCACTTTATTCATGCCAACCATTTAACAAAGGGTTAATTGGATCTATGCCATTATATTTTTTACAGTTTTGAAATATGCCACTACTATTTTTCTATTTAGATTCATGCCATTACAATTTAGGAATAAAAACGGAGCGGATACGGACAAATAATACTCATACCATATTTGTTTTCATATTTTTTTACCGGATACGAAAACGAATACGGATAGCTCGAATACGGAAACAAATACGGATTATCTCACATACGAATAAGAATCGAATATGATCGGACACGAATACAGAAACAATTTTTTCTCGGAACACGAAAACCAATTCAACTTCTAATAGAAACAAATATCAACATATATAATTAGCTCATTTTATATAAAATGAAGTATAATTTATAAATATTTTTAAAATTTTAAATAATATTAATAGTATGGACTAGTGTTATGAGATAAACTACTATTAAAATCTATAAAGGTATATTGAAGGTTATAGAGTTAGAAAGAAATGTAGTATGTCTCATGGCTTATACGGATATCCTAATAGCATTGTTCATCGGATATCCGAATTATTATCTGTATTTGACGGAAACCCCGATACCATATGCATATTCGTATCCAGGAGAAAGTATACGTATTCATATCCGTATCCAAACTATCCGAGAATTATCCGATCCGAAAGGTATCCGTATCCGTTTTTGTCCGGAGGGGTTGGAATCTATCCGCTCCGTTTTCATCCCTTTACTAACTAATATGTGAGATGTGCCACTGCTTACTCCTTCCATGCACTGAAATTTGTTTGTTTTCGGACCAAATTGACCCCATCTTCCTCCATCCCCTTCTCTCTTCGTTCCCCTTCCTCCTATCTATCTCTGTATTTGGTGCTAGACCTAGCATTGGATCCAGCGATGACCCGACTATCTATCTCCTATATATTCGTGAGGGGTGTGACCGGCGGTGGTATTGCATCACGTGAGAAACCCTAACTGCCACTCCCCTCCCCCGAGCAAAACCCTTGCCGCACGCAGACGCTAGCATGTCTGCGCGTGGCGTTTCATCCCTGTACGTGTGGATACTGGTAGAGGTGCCGCTGGTTTGCGGTACTGATCGGTGTGAGAGCACGGTGAGGAGAACACACGAGGAGGAGAATGTCGAGTTGCTGCGATCGACTACTTCCTCTATACCGATGCGTCCTATGTCCCCGACGTTCCTTCGGCTACTTAGCACTTACTTCCGCTGCACAGCGCGTTGAGTAGGGGTGGGCGTTCGGTCTACCCGAAAATTTCGGTCTCAGTCTTCGGTTTTTGAAAAGTCAGGACCAAATTTCGTCCCAAAAAAATCAGGACCGATGAATTCGGTCTCGGTTTTTTTGTCTCGGTCTCGGTCAGACCGAATTTGGAGGAGCCGAGGCGGAGTGCGGAGACGACGCCGGTGAGATGTGGAGGCGGAGGGCGGAGGTGGCGGCACGGTGCAATGGATCTGGTGGCCGGTGGCCCGCGCGACCGGCGAGGCAGCGTGGAGGCAGAGGGCGGAGACGACGCCGGCGATGTGGAGGCGAAGGGCGGAGGTGGCGGTGCGGCCCGATGGATCTGGCGGCCGGCGGCCCACGCTACCGGCGAGACGGCGTGGAGGCGGAGGGCGGAGGTGGCAGCGCGGCACGATGGACCCGGCGGCCGGCGGCCCGCGTGACCGGCGAGGAGGCGTGGAGGCGGAGACGGCGCCGGCGATATGGAGGGCGGAGGGCGGAGGTGGTGGCGCGGCGCGATGGATCCAGCGGCCGGCAGCCCGGTGCGACCGGCGAGGTGGAGTGGAGGTGGAGGGCGGAGACGGTGCCGGCGATGTGGAGGCGGCGGCGCGACGCGATGGAGGCAGCGGTGGTAGTGCGGCGCGATAGGGATGGGATGGGGATGCAGCCTGGATGGATGAGGGTGGCCTCTAGGGTTCAGTGGTGTATTAGGCTTATTGGGCCTCCTGGATCTATTGGGCCACAATTCGGTTTTCTCGGTTAATTCGGTTAACCGAGCCCAATAACCGAATTACCTGAACAAATTTTGGTCTTTGACATGCTGAGACCGAATTACTACCCGAATTTCTCGGTCTCGGTCTTTTTGGTCTCGGTCTCGGTCTTTTCGGTTCGGTTCTTCGGTTCGGTCTTATTTTGCCCACCCCTAGCGTCGAGTGATAACGATCTATGATCTAATACTTGCATGGTTCCTGGTTTACGCGGTAGAAAAATTTTGATTTATGCTATCGTAGCCTACGTGTAACCCAACAGAGAGAGAAGTGGGATGGAGGAAGAAGACGATGGGCAATTTGGTCCAAAAATATATTTAAGTGCATGGAAGGGGTATGTAGTGGCATTTCGTAAATTTCTACTCCAAATTACAATGGCGTGACTCCAAATAAGTAAATAATAATGGTATATTTCAAAACCATAAAATTTCCAATAGCATGAATCCAATTAACCTATTTTGAATAGGTATGAGATTGTAATGGCATAGATCCAAATAGGTAAATAGTAATGGCATTTTATAAAACTAGCAAATTTATAATGGCATGAATCTAATTAACCCAAATATTAAATGATGAGTTTTTTTACAAAATATCCTGACACCCATTAGGTTCCTACGGAGAAAAAGAATTGCGAACAATGAGAAATCCGTTCCCTGAGAAGAAAAACAATTGTGAAAAATGAGAAATCCAAAAACCCCTCGAGGTTTTATGAACGAAGTATTCTTCAAACCTCATTTCATGAAAGCCGATCCCGAGTAGGCAACAAACTGAATGACCAACAATCACTAGTATCTGATAACTTCTTCAATAAAAGCATCTGTTTCACACAATTAGACTACAAGCATTCTGTGCCTGCTACTTCAGCTACATGTTACACGAACTGTATTCAGCTTTCTTCATGTGTGACCTGGAGTAAAAGTGTAAAACACAGCTGGGGTGATCTTCTACACAAGTGAAATACAATTAGTGTATCCTCAGAAATTTCCTATGATGACCTAACAACTTGAAGCACTTCCATGACTGAAATATGAGGAAGTGCAACATCAAAATATCCACAGTATCTCTTGAAAGGAAATATAGCATCAAGCAGAAGGTTGCGTGAAGCACCAAATATAACAGCAAACGCAAGCCACATTGTTAGCACTTTCTTTTTGTCTTTTCAGTTGAGGAAACCCCTACACACTACTCTCAACCAATCTGTAGCTTGAAGTTGAAGAGAATATTTCCTTTTCTTTTCCTCTTTTTCTTATATTTTTTTCTTTTGGCGGGACGAGTAAGTGCAGTACAGCTCCCAGAATAAACAAACCTGCAACCATTAGAGAGAAGGTCAGAAAAATAAAATAGGATCCAAGGGGATAAAATACTGGTATTGCACATGGAGATATGTAAGCAGAGACAGTAAACAATAGCAGTAAGGAAACAAAAATGACTACTGCCTGTATCATTTGTTGGTCACTGTATTTCTCCTAATGACAGAGGGCTATATTTCCTAATGTTACAGTTCCGCAAAATATTCAATTAAATGTTTAGTGACAAGCATAATCATTCTCCAGAAATTACAACTGTATTTCAATACAAATTATATTACTATGTAGAAGAACTGCATAGAAATTAGACAAGTTAATGCTATCTCACAGTGTAGATCAGGAGCAAAAGCAATTAAAGCGGATGAGATTACATTGAGTGCAATATTGTACAATATAAGCTAGTGGTCCTTCAAACCAATCAGGTTAAATTTGTATTCCTAATAAAAAGAAAAATTAGAGACCTAAAAAATAGTTATGTATAAATTGGTTTTTTACATCTTCAAAAAATTGCAATCGTTTCCTCGAAAAAAAACAAAATCATTTATAATGCCATATCATGCAGAAAATATATTATATAACAGTGCAAATAATATTCCAAATTCTTCTTTGTTCATGTTTTTTTTCTCCTGATATGAAGAAAAAGAGCACCTGGTAGAGGTGTAATCTGGAGGAGTTTTTCCTAGTTGTCACTGTATGCAAGTTATGTTGGAATTTTAATGCATATGTTGGACCTTTTCTAAAGTATTCCTCCATTAGGTCATGTTACTGGATGCAAATATCCATGACTTCACAGCTAAGGATTTACTTTGTCACTAATAGTCTGATGATTGAAATTCGACAAAATATGACAACAATCTAGTTTCAGTACATTCAATCAACACCTGAGGGGTGGCTGACTACCGTTAGCTCCTTTAGTTCAACAGCTGTAGGAGTAACAGATAAAAACAACTGAGTATAAGATCCCTTGATACCCTAGTGCCCTGCATTTGTATTTCACAGATGGTGTATTAGGTGAAGCTGTAATGTTGTGTAAACGGACTGTGCTTTCTGAGAGAAGGGAGACACACACACACACAAGATGTAGTAGTTGTAGAACATGAGTGCTTTAATATATCATACTTTGGCACTTGCATTCCTCATTTAACAAATTATTAGACATTTATTTTCTATTATTCTATCAAAGTAAGTTTTAACCAATTCACAAGGATAAAAGTACAGGTTGAAGTAAAAATCCTGGACACCAACTGATAACAAGTCAATTTCCAGGTACATAAGGATAGACATTTTTTCCCGCTTACTTGTTCTAAGCTAATATTTTTAGTTTTCACCTTGACATGAAAAGTAGTCTAAGATACTAAATTACTTCAAACCAGGACCAATTATCTAAAAAGAGGGACATCATCATAAATTTTCTGGTATAATTGGCCTTGGTGAAGCTCTGTTTGCAGCCTGTCAATGCCGATAATATTTGCAAGGCAAGACATTACCTGATAAAATCATGAAATAACTTCTCCATGATGACAAACCAGAGCCTCTTATATATATTAGAGGGTCAAGCATAGTGTATATGCTCCAGCATATGATGCAACTTTGGAGCTCTACGTCGGAATATTGGCTCAAGTCGGAAAGATGGCACTCCATTTCTCCACTTCTTTGCATCATACATTTCATTCCATGCTTGAACTATTTCTTCAACCTTAAAACTCAGTCCTAAATATAAAAGAGGTAAATCTTGTAAGAACTTGGTATCAAAACTATGTTCTTAGGATCGGCACACACAAAAAACACAATGTTCTATACACAGTTCACACGAAATCTGAAGCTTATCACAGCGGCTACTAGTTAGCAGCTAAATACTGGTACATCAACATTTATTAAGCATACGGCATACCATATTTCTTTATCTATATAGGAGAACGACCTTGTCCTAATAGAGGGCTCTAAGTGTTAAAAAAATTGCATCTTGCTTTTCGAAGTTGCAAAATAGAACAAAAAAATTGGGCAAATAAACAATATAAAGCAAACTGAGAAATTGCAAACAAAATGCTGCAGGAAAGTTATTCTAACCTTCTTGAGTAGTTTCATTAGCAGAATGGTTTTTTACCATCACATTGATGTCTGCGGGAGAAGCACCTCCAGTCTTAAATTTTTCTATAGCAACCGTTAGAGACTCCTCCCAACTAGGAAGTCCCAAGATAAATTCCACTACAGAACGTTCATAAAGAATGGTGCCCCACAAAATATTTACATGCGATCGGATACTAGAAGCCTGTTCAAATGCTTCATCGGAAGACATATCCTTCATGTACCCATCTATGCCCATCTTCTCAAATATGATCTTCTCCTTACTTGGTTTTGAGAGCCCCCTCAAGCGTGTATTTTCCATTCCCTCCCACATCCCCATTCCCTTTTCCATATTATCCTCTGCATGGTTAAATAATCCCAAAACCTCAGTTCCCATGTCTATCTTACATGCAAGAGCATAATACCAACAGAGCTTGGCCTGCTCAAACTGCTGCTGCCCAAGTGCAATAAGACCTTCAAAAAAATCTGGTTTTGTTTTCACAGCTTCTCCATACTTCGCGCCCGCTTTGGCATATTCCGCACAAGCCCATTCATAAGCAACCTTAACCTGCTCAAGTATACATTCCATTGAAGCATCGTCTGACAAGGGAGGCCTTTTTCTCGCAGAAGCCATGTGAACATTGCCCCAGTTGAACAGAGCCAATGCTGCCATTTCCTGGAATTTTAGCTCTGCAACTTGAAATATTTCCTGTGCTTCTTCACTTGCAACAGTGTCTTCCATAGCTTCATAGTACAATCTCATGCCAAGGTCGTGGAGATCCAAATACGAGTCGGAATCAAAACCAAGATGGTTCTTGAATAGCCGAGCAAATTGTATCATCCAGTCATCAATAGAGCAGTTGTGATCATCATCATGCCTACTGCTCCCATTCTCCGACATGCTATAATAAGCTTTCTCTAATGAGGCAAATGAAGAGCGTCTCCTGACCACATCCACACCTAGCTCTTGTGCAGGATCAACCGCTACAATGTACAGTCGAATTGGCCCTTCCAGATCTGCCAAGCTGTAGGCCCATCTAAGCTCATCCGATGAAGTGATCGTCACCAAGTCACCTTCCTTGTCCTTATATTTAATAAGCAACGCTTTCAACGATGGAAACTTGTTTTGAACTATGTCTCTCAATTGTGACAGATTGCAGTTAGCTGGCATTTGAGCACATCTAATGTCCTCCCCAAAGACCAGCTTCAGATCCTTCATTGCTTCCTTGACATGGACACTGGTCTCCGTGTAACGCTCATGACGATTTTCCTCAGCATGATGCACTGGCTCCATAGCGGAATGCTTTTGCTTCTTGGCGTCAGCACGCCTAATTTTCTTTCCTGCACTGTGCTTCCCTGGTTTGCCATTCTTTCCTTCCTTATCTAAACCCTTGTTTTCCTTATCGTCCATATGATATTGATGTTTTCCTACTCCATTTGCTTCCGGCTGGTCGGTTCGAATTTCTTGCTTGACAGGTACATTACAATCAAATTGCTCCTTCCCGGCACGATTTTCTCCATTCTCCTGACCATTAATCTTCAGCTCTGTTTTCTCACTTTGCTCATAATCTTCGACATGAATCAGCTCCTGCCCCTCAATAGCAGAATCACACTGTTTATGAGATTTCTTCAACTTCCCCTGTCCCTTCGCACTAACAGCCTTGTGCTCCGGCGGCGGCGGCACGGGTTCCTTCTCCAAGACAAGAACGCCCTTCTCCTCCAATGCCGCCCTGACCTTGTCGGAGATCTCCCGCGCGGCGCGGTTAGCCGGCTCCCAGGCAAGCACGGTCCGGACGTCCTCCCAAGCCAGGTCCGGCCGGTCCAGCGCCTGGAAGCAGGCGGCCCGCCGCAGCAGCGCCCTGCTGTACCTGGGCGCCGCCTCCAGCGCGAGGTTGCACTCGTGGATGGCGCGGTGGTGCTCGGCGGGGGCCATCCGCATGTAGCACTGCGCGACGCAGGTCCGGAGGTGTGCCGCCGCGTCGGCATGGCCGCCGCTGGGGAGGAGCTGGACCGCCTTGTCGTACTTGAAGGCGGCGCCCTCGTAGTCCCTCCGGTTGAACAGCCTGCCGCCCTCCTCCTTGAGCTCCCGCGACAGCTCCAGGAACACCTCCTCGTCGCCGTCGACCGCCGCGCTCGCCGGCGGCTTCTTGGCTGCCGCCGGCTTCCCCATGGGCCCCGGCGCCCAGGCCCGGCCGCCCCGCGGCTTCCCCTTCAAATCCCGCACCTCTCGCTCCCTGATGAACCCAAGAACTACTTCCTCAGCAAATCTGCACGGACAGAGAACCAGAAATGGAGAAACAGGGGCTTGACCAAAGGACTCCTCCTCTCCCCCTTGCGAATCTCACAAAGAAACTCCAATGAGGCGCCCGAGAAGTTACAAAGCTGTTGGCAAGAACCGAATCAAGAACGGGGGCAAAGGTATGGTATAAGGAACCGATGCTTCGACCGCACGGAAAAAACCGAGAAGACGAGGCGGGGAAGCAAACAGCGGAGGAGAGCAAGGGAAAAAGAAAAAAAAAAGGAGGGATAAGCCGCGGGTGGAGTCGGACAAATGGCGGAAAAGTGCGAGGCGGTGGTGGTGTACGCGGCAACCAAGGTCACGCTCACGCACGAAATGGAGGAAAAGACGAGGCGCGATGGTTTTTTTTTCTGGTGGTGGGTTGGTGACGGCAGCAACGAGGCGGTGGTGTGGTGGTGGCGGCGACAGGCGGCAGCGGCTGGCTGTGTGGGCCGTGCAGATTCGTGCTCCTTTTGAGGGGGAGTAGAGATGGCAATGGGGCTGTTCACCGTTTCCCCGTAGTGAATTCACCTATTAGGTGACGGGGATGGTTAATATCTACTCACCATGGGGAATAAAATGGTTAAAAACCTCTCACCATCGGGGATGATGGGGGCGGGGACGGTGAACCATTCACCGTCCCCGCCCCCCACGGTGACCCGACTGTACTGTACAAGGGAGGAATTCTAGACTTTTTAGATGTATTGGCCCATAATATTGAAGCCCATTTAACAGACATATATAATCTAACCCTAAGTCAACAGGTCAATCTCCAAATTTTCCACCCATCCAGATCTAGATCCACACTAGCCACCCGACCGAGTCATGCGCGCCGCCGGTCGCCAGTCCACCGGGAGCCGCGCCGCCGTTCGCCAGCCACCTCCGGCGCCGTTCGCCAGCCACCACGCGCACCGCCACTCGCTGCCTTCTCGCCAGGAGACTGAAGCTGCCCGTCACCGGCCGCCTTCGTCGACGCGGCGCCGGGCCGCGCGGCGCCTGAAGCCGTCTTTACCAGGAGCGGCCGGCAGGCTCCGTCGATGCACCGCCAGCCTGCAGCCATCTTCAACGGGAGCCGTCATCGCCGTGCCGTCGGGAGTCGCCGCCGCCATCTGTCGTCGCCGCCGCCATCTGCCGACCATGGCTTCAACCTTCGGCCACCTCCCTCCTAAAGCTACAACAGTGACGATGCAAGGTGAGCATACTACAATCTGTGACTGTGAATATATTGTTTAACTGGGGACGGGTTCACCACGGGGAAAAATTCACCGCGTGGTGATCGGGGTTGGAGAAATTATAGCCTCGTCGTGGTTGACGGGGGCGGGGACAGTGAAATATTTTCACCGCGGTGACGGGGACGCGGGCATGACCCCCAACGGTGAATTCACCGTTGCCATCTCTAGGGGGGAGGTGGTGGTGGTGGGCCGGGTGGGCGTCATCCAATCCAATCCAACGGCCAGCAAGCGAGGTTGGTGTGGGCGCAGTAACGCTTTTTTGTTGTTTGTCGGTTGGGCATTCATGGGGGGCTAGGCGTACCCGGAGTTTCACGTGGTACTACACCGTAACATAAATCAATGCGTCGTTTTGGTACAGGAAGACTCGTGAGCACGGAGCAGCTGCAGAATCGTTGAATGTTCTCCCTTCGGTTAAAATTAAACCATCAACAATTTTAAAAATATTTATAGCATGTTTTATTCTCTAAGGCTGTGTCTGCCATTCCATGTTCCCAACCGAAACAATATACACGGAAAATGGAGCGGTTAATTAGTATATAATTAATTAAGTATTAGCTATTTTTTTATCAAAAATGGATTAGTTTCATTTTTAAGCAACTTTTATATAGAAACTTTTTGCAAAAAACACACCGTTTAACAGTTTCTAAAGTGTGCGCGTGAAAAATAAGAGATAGGGGTTGGGAAAAGGGGTGCCGAACACAGCCTAGTGTCTTTGATATCGATTTGGTTTCCAATATATATTTCTAATCATTACTATTTGTTAGCACTATGTTTTAAACTATGAATATCATAATTAGATAAAATTATTTTCTCAAAGCAAATTTACCTAGCAACTCTATGACCCAATTATCGTTGTTCTTAGTCGGATCGGTTGCATTAGTTGTTTTGTCTGGTCACAACTCACAAGCTTATGGTCACAACTACTTTTGCTATCTCTAAGATGGAAACATAAACATAATTATTTCTACAATTGATGGATATCGTTTATAATGTTTGTGCTACTGTTATCATGGAGGACTATGATAATCTTCTTTGGTATATCTGTCATTGGAGATCTTGATATGTGTCAGATTGGGAAGGATCCCCGTCTAAAACTCAGCTAATATGACCAAAAATTTCAGCTGGCTGTCCTATAGAAAGTCCTTAAAAATATTTAAACACTAGTGAATTTAATAAACTTAATTTGCACCAGTGAATTTGAATAAAATTAATTTGATGTTATAGATGTTGTCACATTTTTTCTATAAATTTGATCAAACTCTAAAAAAAATTAACTTATGATATCCTAAAATGTCTCGCGATATGTATTTGAGCTAATACATATGACAAGGAAGATTAAAAGCATACAGCTCTACGAGAATAATACGATAATCGGGCAAATGAGCATGTGCTGAAATGCAAACATTATTTTTAATCATACAATGCAGACTCATTTCGAGGAAAATTATGTGCTGCATTTTTTCTTTCTCCTAATGCCGAATACCACCTAGGTACCCAATTTGTAGCTGGAAGGTTCGTGGTGCAACTTAAGTGTAGATGTAGCATTGCGATAATTGTTTCACGTGAATGGAGGGATCCATGAGCGGGAGCGTTACCAAAATGACAAGGAGTGGACGATTTTCCTTGTACTTTTATTACAAAATCCTGGTGCTTAGGAAACATAATAAAAAAAAGCCAAAGAAGTTAGGACAAACAGGAAAACGGTTGGTGTCTCCACACCGAACTAGATGGCCTTTTCCTTTCCTGGACGCCCTTTCTCGTGACAAACTGCAATCTGTTGGGCCTAGGAGTTTCCTCTCACATATCTTTTTTTTTTTAGGAAAAACCTCTCGCATATCCTTCGCAGCGGAAGGATAAGATATTTTAGTAAAACCTATTTTAGCATCCAAAATTCCATCTGCTGACATAAGACCCAACAACTATCCCCTTCTATAGTTCTATTGACACAAAACATCAAAGACCCAAAAATTCAGAACTTGCAGTCTATTTTAAGGAGTTGTGATGCTGGCCGTGCAAAGGAAGTGGCTCCTCAGTGGCTTGGCTGATGTCCATTGTTGGATGTTCGAGCTGTTTTTCGCTTTGGCGACTTTCGTGGCTTCAGTGTCGCTGCGATTGTGAAGTCGGCGCTATTGGGTCGCTTGGGCGGCTAGCTAGGGAATGATAACACCTCTTCTGCGATGTCGGAGCTGTTGTGTCGCATTTATGTTTAGCATAGCAGCGATGTTTTGCGTTTGGGCTCCACCGTCATTGTTAGTTGTGTAGCGGTGGGTTTGAGCCGGTTTCATGTAATTAACCGTGCAGTTGTTTGGTTTTTTACCTGATTTTCCTTATAAACTGGGTCATTTCTCTTCTTCCAAATATAAAAGCTGGAACAAAGTTCCCCCTCGGTTAAAAAAAAATCAGAACACAAGCTTCATACCAAAATTTAAAATCCCCATACAAAAGTTCCTTCGAGCAACTCCCAAAACTTCCCCATTTTACCTCAAATTTATACTTCAATTCATTGAAGAAAATGTAAAACTCATCTCCAAACCCATCTTTTGAGAATTCCCCAAAATGTCCAGAAGTCAAAGTCAAATAATACAGAGAGAATATATTGTGGACTAGTTGATTGTAACGAGCTTTGAGAGATATGTATAGATATAAGATACTCCCTCCATCTCTAAATATTTGACACCGTTGACTTTTTAAACATGTTTGACTATTTGTCTTATTCAAAAAACTTAAGTAATCATTAATTCTTTTCCTATCATTTGATTCATTGTTAAATATACTTTTATGTATACATATAGTTTTACATATTTCACGAAAGTTTTTAATAAGACGAACGATCAAACATGTTTAAAAAAAGTCAACAGCGTCAAATATTTAGAGACGGAGGGAGTACATGGGTAGAGAGAAGGAGGAATTAGAAATATGAAAAACAACCATACAAATCAATCCCATCTTAATATATCTCTAACTACCATATACTTCATTTCCCCTGCAATCCAAGTGTGAATAGCATAAACGCTTAAACTAAAGAAGAAATAGGTCAGAGTGCTCAACACAGATAATAGACATTTGTGCCATTATCGAGGTCAGGGTCGGATCTACAGTGTTAGCATCGGTGTCAGGCGATATCGATGACTTTCGGTAAAACCTATGATTAAACTGCTTATCCATAAATTATAACACTATAGTCTAAATATAATTAGCATGCTATGACACCAATGAATCATTTTTCTAGATCCGCCACTGGTCGAGGTAGCTAAAGTGAAGGGGCAAAGGGACCATGGTCGAGGTAGCCTGAACGCGCAGAGATGTAGCCTAGAGGGGGGGGGTGAATAGGCTTTCCTGAAAATCACAAACAAATCACAGCGATAAAATTCAACAGGCCCGGTACCTCCTGGTGTAGAACACCGGAACTTTCGGTCTGCTCAGACAGTCCATAACTTCCGGTGTTCTTGTATCGGAACTTCCGGGCAACAGAAAAAAACTAGGAAATTCTAACAGGGACAAAGCTAAATTTCACGAGATGGATCATAGGTAAACAGAGCAGTTGAGGTGCTCTAACACATGCACAGAAACATCACAGAAGAGACAAAGACGATTTGTCCCGAAATTCTTATCTTGCAATCCTACTCTCCGTTGAGGTGCTCCAAAGAGTTGGGTCTCGATTAACCCCTTGCCTCACTTGTGCAAAAATCTCAGAGCAAATCTACAGCTTTCAACCCCAACACCTCTAGGTCATTTTCTAGAATTTGAGTGACCACCAAGATCCAACTCAACCTTGTCACATCCCAAAACGACTCTAAAATATATCCTTTAAATTATGCCTAGAATAATTAAAATCCGTGTGAAAGCCTCCAACAATTAAAATGTGCAAAGTTAAAAGTCAAATAAGGCTTAGAGGATTTTTGTATATTTCCTAAAAGCCTAAAATGTGTAAATAAATTTTAGTGGAATTTTCAAAGCACAAATAATAATTATTAAGAAATAAACAAAGTTGAAAAAGTTTTATAAAAAGAAAAACCCTAAAAGTCCCCCTTTCCTCCCTTGGGCCGGCCCGGCCCATCTCTCCTCCCTCCCCCCTCCCCC